GATAGCATTGTTATTGCTATTATTCTGCTGGTGTATGATATCAAAGGTCTGTACTTCATTTCTTAGTTATTTGAAAACCTTTCAGTATCGAAACAGGATACATAAAAGATGATCTCCAAATATGCTCAATATTAACTAATTGGTTCCTCTTCTACATTTACTAAACTCTTACAGTCCATGAGGACTCAATATGCCTAAATTAACCACAGCTAAATTGATCAAGAATTCAACTTGCATGGATACCTCCAAACTGGTGGGGTGAAGAAGTAGGGCATACAAATGAGCACAAAATTTAACATAAAAAGAATACAAAATCTTGCCTACTTGATACAACTAGAGAATACAGTGTAAAACAGATTTTTTATACCAGATATCTGTTTAAGTTGACAAGAAAGCTTTTATGGAAGCTATTGCAAAGGATACAAGTGACATTAATACAGATCTGGGCGTAACTCTAATATACTAAGGAGAAATTTAGACAAGAGGCAGGATAAAAGGATCACCAAAAAGGGAAATATTATGTTGGCATATAAAGGTAGGGGAGTTTGTAAAACTGAACTAATTGTACTTGCCAAAAATAGACCAAGGACCGTAACATGGGTGAAGGGGTGAGAAAGTTGGTCAGACAATCAGTTTAAGAGGCCTCTTGCTAAACTGTGGTAGGAAGGGTGTTTTTAATTTCAGGCTTAGTAGACCAAGGGCCAGGCATAGCTGCAATGGGCACTCATAAAAGTCAGACTAAAAGCTTAATCAAAGATAGGAACCAAGCCTCAGTCAAGAGATGACTCGGGAGATCAAAAACAAGAGACACTATCATACCATGTGATTTGTGCTACAAATTAATTTTTGAAAGATTGACCTAAAAGCCTAACATGCATGTTGTAGGTAAATCTCTTTGGATGAGGATAAAATAAGGACATTCAGTAGAGCAACTTTTCACTTCGAGCTGTGCAAACACATATTTTAAATTCTAAACAATTCTCAATGGTGGCGCTTTTTTAAATTGATAATAATGAGTGTATTTCAATTGCTCATTCAAGATCTCTCCAGATGGAGCTGAGTCTTCACAGGTTGAGATGCAAGGATTTAGTAGAGAGTTCAAAAGTCCATATCCTTGACAAGGGCTGACACAAACAGCAAATGATAATCACTACATTTGACCAAAAGCACCCTTTAAGTGGAGAGAAATCAAGACCAAATCTTATTTTTTTGCAATCTACTAAAAGTATTTGGCTTTGCTCTGTGTTTAGCAACAATAACAGCAGGGATTTTTTTTTTTATTAGAACTATCCTGGGAAATACTTTAAATTATCTTCTCAGATAGGCTTATCCTACCATCTGTCACTGCTGCTGAAAATTAAACAATGAATGCAAACACATGTTTGTGTCTAATCTTTTGAGGTTAACTGATTTCCCAGAAAGATGGGAACAAATAAACCGGGCAATTGCTTGCTGCCTAGCATTGTCCTGGGTCCTCCGTGGTTGCTACCCTTTTAAAACCCACATGCTAAAGTGGGAGAGAGAAATACTATACCCAGAATGGCCTTCTTGACAAGTGCTTTAAGCAGATGTGGCTTGGGATGCTCCTGGGACAAAGAGGACAGTAAGCATCTCTCTTCATAGAATAGGTTGGAAGAGTAAGGGGTGTCAATGTGTTTGTGTGCTCATGGGGATTTGGAAGGATGTTGGAGGGGAATTGTGTTCTTCATGGTTTGGGGGAGGTGGAGGAACCTGAAGCAAACACAACTGATAGAGGAGGGGTTATTAATAAAAGAGGAGGAACATTAGAAAGAATGTTCTGGGATGAAAAACATCACATACAAAGGACCATGGCAAATTAGAATGCACATCGCTTAACATGACAGAGAAATAATTTTTAGATATTTGTGGGCATGGAAGTCACCTGACTTTGACAACCATTTGTTTATTCTGATTCAGTAGTTACAAGGAAGAACCCAAATTCTCAGGCTTCTCACAACCCCTGATCCATACAACTAGTACTGGTTCCTGGACCAAATTTGGAGTAGGAATACAAAGAAAACTCCTCTCTGGGGAAATCATGTGACCTTGGATATTGGCATACTCGCTCATTCCATATGAGTCAGCAACACAGGCAGTGTAGTGGCCCCTGAACATCTTGTTTGTTCACAAATGACTTTATTTTTTGTAAAGAAGGCTTCTTGTTGGAGGATCAGCTTAAAATGACTCCTTTCCATCATACTTTGCTTTTATGTCTGCTATTCCACCTTATCTTCCTTCTCGTTTGAAATAGATTTTATAAGCTTCCACATGAAAACCAGCCCGGAAAGCTGGCCTTAATAAATATTATCAACACTTGTCAAATCAAAGGAAAACCCCTCAAGGAAGAATTTTCAGGCTTGCCCCTTAACGCAAGTTACAGAATGGTAACGTGTCTTGCCAGAGATTCTTCTCGTATCAACTTGAGCTCATGTTAATAAACGCATGAGTTTCATGGCCCCACCATCTTGCTTCCTCCTCCAACAGCCAAGGTTTTATCTCCCTGGAGACTAAGGACAAAAATCTTTGCAAAAACTCAAACTTTGCATCTCTATCCCAAAGGCCATGGGACAGATGGAGGCAATTGTGTAGTCGCATGCTGGAAATCCACACGATTAATGTGGTTTCAGAAGGTAGATCTTCCTACATTTTTGTTACGATTATTAGATATCTTTGAAGCCCTATCTTTGGTGATTTTGAAGATGAGTAGGAGTATCTGCTTCCGATGTTGGTGTGGTAAAATTGCATAATGCTTTCCATTAATAACATATTACACTGACTTTATACCTATGATGTCACTTGTTCCCTCATTTAATTCTCACAACAGTAATTAAATGTGTATTTGTATATGTACATAGTTAACTTATTTATTATGTCTATAGTCTTGCTTGAGCCAATGGAATGAGCCTCGCAGACAAGTAACAAAGCTTCAATTCCTGTATGCATTTTTCCATGAGACAATCACAAAGAAATCTATGGGCAGAGTCCCCATTTCTTCTTTTTCGTGGATGAGTGAACAGTTCTCAAGCTTGAGCACTATTCCAGGCTTTCTAAAACCCGATAATAGATGCTTGGTGGATAGCTATGTAAGTTCCTCTTGTTTTCATTCCCCCATCGCCCTCTTGCTGCCTTGGGATCTATTGAACTCTTTAGAGCAGATGAAGCTCCTTCTAGAGCAGATGGAGCGTGTTGGCTTGCTGTTTTCACTGTTTCTCAGCAGCGGCTATTAGTCAGGACTCTCTCAGATTTACATATTACCCTTCCACTTCCAATTCCTAAATTCCCTAACCCTAAAAAAAGATGTGAAATATGCCCTAACTCTGGACCTAAGTCATAAACTGATTGGTCGAAGTGATCCACTAGTTTACCAAAGCTACCTGGGGGAAAATAACAACAGGACCCAGATCTTCCTGAATCCCTCCCCAAAGAGCTTGAGAGACTCTGAAAAGGAATTGGGCGCCATTTTCTGGTTTCACAGACCAGGTATGGTGGGCTAACATGAACTTGGCTGTGATCTTGTCTATCACGTTCTAATAATTTGTAACCCATCTTAACCTATTCTTCCTTCTTTGCATCTTCTTTTTATTACTCTATTCCTTCATATCTCCTTTGCATCTTCCATGACTATTTTCTTTTGTTTACTTTTTCTTACTTTTCCTTTCTTACGTGAGGAAAATATGAGTGTTGGCCTTTACTTTATATTGCATTCATTGTAGTCCTCAGGGCATCAATTACTCATAAAGTAACACATAAGAAGTTTGAACTCTGGAAACTTGTCTGGATTTTGTGATTTGTCACGAGACGCCATCATTTATTATAATTAATGGAAACACCAACAGACTACACGCATATTCTGACCTCACAGAACTAAGTTATAACCTGAAGCAAGAGTAGGGTGCTGTTAGTAATGTGTTATTTATTTGAATTGATTTATTTTAGTTAACTTTCTTTTAGAAAAGCTACCTGTGTCTCAGAAAATTTCATAGGAAACCATCAGATATTTCAAAAAGTACTCTTTAATGAATTGTGCATATCTATGTGGTGTTCAGCAATCACTGCAAAGTATGTGTACCATAATATGAGTATGCCTTTGGATTCCAATATTCACACTTTCAGAAGGAAAACAATATTTAGAAATGCTTTAGAAATTCATTAGACGTTTTAGTATTAAAGGGGACTTAATTTTCAACTGTCAGTTATGTAGTGAAAGCAGATTTTGAAAATAAAAACTTCATTTTTTTTTATCATCTCTTAAAATGTCACAATACCCAAGGCCAACCTGGTCTACAAGAGCTAGTTCCAGGACAGCGGGGGCTGTTAGCACAGAGAAACCCTGCCTCAAAAAAAAAAAAAAGTAACAATAATTCCAAATCTTTAAAAATATTGATGCAGTTCAGAACATAATCAAACCCAACAGAGTTTGGTGCAGATATAGGGAAGCATCTCAAGTTTTGGAAACAGACAAGGTGGATGGCACTCTGCCACCACAGCGATGGTACGGGGGTGACTGGTCCCTGCTGAGCTCGTGTTCTTTCTAAAGTCATGCCGCGCTGTGCTTTTTGGGTAAAATCATTTTTTACCTTCATTTTGAAAATAATGAGATGAGTATTTTATGTTGTGTTGGTTTGGCAGAGCTGAATTAATGGGACAAGTGAGAAAGGCCCATTTGGTTTTAAAATATGCTGAACAAAAGTGGCTAGCACCGTTTGAAGTCAGACAGATGGGACTGTGTCCATTTCAGCACTGTGGGAAGCAACGGCTTGCAGCTTTCTGCTCACAATATGATTGTCCATCCATGCTATTTCCAATTCCCAATGTAACCCAACAAGGAAAGGCCAGTTTGAGCAGGACGACTGGTGGTGTGGAGCACAGTAAGAAAAGATGGGCTTGACATCAGGCAATGCTTGACTTGTTCTGCATTTCTACGTAGAGAGATGACTCACTGGACTGTGCTCTCTTTCTTTGGCATTCGGGACACACAGCAACGTGGAGTTATCACTGATGCATGAAGTCTTGGAACCACAGCAGAACAGCAGCAGTGCAGCGGGCGGCCTGGCTGGCTCCATCACGGCCTGTAAGAAGGTAACTTCTCCTCATGGCACCTTCTTCCCACCAATGGAAAAGCAGCTAGGCTTGGTCTTTTTTTTTTTTTTTTTTTTTTTTTTTTATCGCTTTAATTTTAATTTATTTATTTATTAAGAATTTCTGCCTCGTCCCCACAACCGCTTCCCATTTCCCTCCCCCTCCCCCGATCAAGTCCCCCCCCCTCATCTGCTCGAAATTGGGATCTCACCAAGGCCAGCTGGCCTAGGTCTGAAAAAGCATGGGATAAATCCAGACTAGCTGAACATAGCGGACAATGAGGAATACTGAGAACTCAAGAACAATTGCAGTGGGTTTTTGATCCTACTGCACGTACTGGCTTTGTGGGAGCCTAGGCAGTTTGAATGCTCACCTTAGGAGACCTGGATAGAGGTGGGCAGTCCTTAGGCTTGGTCTTTCAAGCACGTTTCCTTATGTAGAGAAACCAGAGAAACAACCAACTACTCACACATTTTTCTTACATATGTCTTGATGACACTTTTTAAAAATGCAATTCACAGAAATGATTAAATAACCCAAACTCCCAGAGTCCTGACTTGAAAATGGTAAGCCTTCATTGTCCAAGCAACCCATTCCCAGCTGTTCTGTACAACCAGGCACGAAGACAGGCACAGAACAGAGCCACTGGAACATGGACAATTTTCCCAGGTTTTCACTGGCTTGACCTAACATGTTGAGGTACGTCACATTGAAGCAAAATTTATGAATGCCAAAAGGTAGGGTATGGCTTCCCAATGAGAGAGACATACTTGGATTACTTTAGAAGCAGAATTGAATTTCCTAAAATCTTAGTTGGACAGCTGCCTTGCTTTGCAATACTTGCAGAAGATATTTGTTTGCACAAAATAAAATAACTCCATTTAACCACCCTCTTTTTCTGTCAGTCTAAGGCCCTAATTTAATACATTAAAGCAAAATGTCTAAGATTCTGATCACCCCAATTAATATTTTGTCACTATTTAATGCTGACATTAATTAATTAATGGAGGACAGTGCAGTGATTCTCATTCAAGCTTAGAGAATACCACACTAGGTTATTTCACTTATCACAATATATACTTTTTTGATTATGCAAACACGTCCATGTGCAAATTGAGACAAATTATTTTACTATATATACATGTATACTACATATACATAATATACATTACATATATTCATGTGTATATATATACATATCAAGTTGTTGAGTACTATGCCCACTTAATCAGCTTATTTATTCAGTTACCTATGCAGCTTTTTATAAATTGATAACTTTAAAATACAAAAAAATAGCAAACATATACACTAGAGAACAGCACATTATAGAAAAAAAACAGCAAACACAATTTTATCAATGTCTTTTCATACTACATACACAAGCTTTCCTTAGCTGAGACAAAAGAACCAAGATAAGTAAGTTTAAAAGAAAAGGTTTTTTTTTTTTTTTTTTTTTTTTTGCTTCAGTTCCTAGCCTCAAAGGTTCAAGTCTTTGATATCTTGACCCTGTTGCTTTTGTGTTTGTAATGAGTTAGAACAATGGCATAGGAAAGCATCAAAGTGAAAGCCAAGATTCCTCTATCCCCATCATGGGCATGTCTCTAAGGAGCAAACTTCCTTCCATACTCCAGCTAAACATTCTGTCTCTTCACTGGCACCACAGGTTTTGGACTAAGTGTCTAACCACAGCTTTTATGAGCCATTTACAGTGAAATCTAACACATATATACACTCAAAATCAAATATAGAATAAACCAATCTAATTAAGACCTCTCAATGGGATGAATTATAATGTTTCCTGCTATAAATTTTCTATAGGGAAATTGATGTTTTAAGTCCCAATTAGTATAGGATCCTGAGGTGAGGTCCTCCAAGTCTAAATTTTTAATTTTGAACTTTATATAAGAGGGGTAAGCTGCAAACCTCCAAACCTTAGGTACATTTCTGAGTCTGTGACTCAGATCATGCAGTAAGCACCAGATGATATGTGTTTCACAAAACAGTGGGTTTTCTGGACTGTCTAATGTCTAAGGCGCATACATTCCTGGTGGTGAGAGTCCATGTGGCATTTGAAAGGACTGAAGCCACAATACCTGGATCTGACAGCCAACTCCTCATTCATTGTGAGTTATGTGATTTGCTACAAATGGATAACTCTGGATGACTTAATTTCCTTATCTGAAAAAAACGAAGATAATATTATTACCTCTTGTCTCAACGGAGTGAGACAAGACCAGAATGAGGCAACAGACGTGAAATGCTGAGAACTATGTCTGGCATACCATAAACACCCCGAAAGAAAGATTACCTACTGCTAATGTTATTAGACATGGTAATTTTATCAAAGAGTGTACAGTATCAGAAAAATAACTTAATAATGAGAGGGTAATTCATGATATTATCTTAGTTACAGCCATTTCTATGGGGTGGGGAAGGTGGCCATGCTCCTTTCTGTTTTAAAAACTCATGTCTGGAAGCTATTGTGCTGACAACTGGTAGAAGCAGGGTGTTTATTCAAAAAATTAAAAGCAGTCAAGAGTGATGAGGTGAGTCTGAGTAATACAGCAATTTTGCTAGCTATGTAGCAAAATAATGTCTCAGTTAAAACAAATTAAACCCAAAACTCAATCCTAAGATTTTATCATCATACACATGTAATATTTCTGTATATTCATATGAATAGATATGTATGTATGTTGACATGCAGCATCCCACAGCAATGAACAGCCAGAGAGCACCTGTCTCAAACATGGTGGAAGGCAAGGACTTACACCCAAGCTCGTCCTCTGACCTCCACACTCGTGTCATGCTCTGGCACACCTATACTCACACCTATGCACACACACACACACCAAACTAACTCACAGTGTCTCACCCTTTTTAGTACCCAGAACATAGAATATTAGTTTGAAGACACTGAATGATTCACTATCTTTATTACCATTACTACCAACTCATCTCAATGATCATTGCTCATTTTTTTTTTCAAATCTTGTTAATCACAGATAAAGGAAATGGGGAAATGAGCATCTCGAATTCATAAGTGCACATATACACACAAATGGCTTAAATCCCTGGCACTTGGGAGATCGAGGCAAGTATTCAAGGCCAACCTTGATCACATACCTGATCATCCTGGGCTAGGTAATGAGACATTGTCTCAAAGGTACACACAGGCTCATGCGTGAGCACACACATATGTGTAGGCGCGCACACACACGCGCACACACACACACACACACACACACACACGATGTTCATCCCAAAGCAGGCCAAAAGAATAGATTAATTATATCTTGGAAGGAGCAAGTCCTACCATCCAGCCGAATCACACATCACACTCATAGTCAGCAAAAGTAATGTGGGCAGTTGGCATCTTCTGGCAATTCCCAAACTCATCCAATGTAACAGCTTCCACCTCTTTCTCACCAAGCCAACTCATCAGAATTGACATATTGTTAAAGCAGCTGATGGAAGAATTAAGATAAGGACCAGAGAGGATAACAATAACCATCCACTGAAAAGCACCAAAGTTATGATTTCTTTCATGTGTAACATAAGGAATCCCTCAGGGCTTTGGAATCTGACCCAGATCCTCTGATCATGGCTGGGGAGAAGCTACTGCATCAAAAATACATTCTGGTGGATGTATTCCTACGAGGAATTCTTCCATTTGTATTTTCTCCATTGGAAGACTGCCTTTCCAAAGATTTCAGGTGCCCACTTAGTCACCATTTCAGACACTGTCTGGAGCTTGCATGATAGAACTTTCCAGTTCTCAGAAGCACTCTGATGTACAAAATAAGGTACACGACCATGCTAACTGTAGATGCAGGAATATCCTTTCTCTTGTTTACTTATCTCTCTGTGTGTTCATGAGTGTGCAAATGCATTTTTATGTGCAGGCATATTTATGTGTGCACAGTTGTGTCTGATGTGTGGGTGGATAGTTTTGGTTGTCATCACTTCAGTTGATTTCATTTTGAGACAGGGTCTCTGATTGGCCTGGAAATAAACAAGGGAGGTAGCATAGTCTGGCTTGACAGTGAGCCTCAAAAATTAGCTTAGCTCTCCCCGCTCCCCAGCCCCAGCCCTGAGATTACAAGAAAATATTGGATTTGTCTTGGTTTTTAATGTTTCAAACATTCATACAATACATTTTGATCATAATCTTCCATCTCCTCCAACTCCTTCCAGGTTTTGTTTTCAGCTATAGGCTCTGGGCAATGACCTCATACCTCCATTCTTACAAAGAAGGCATTTTAATGAGTAAGCTTTCATCCAGCCCCTTGCCTCTGCTTCTAAGAGCTAGGGAGATTACCAGATAAAGTCATATGAAATGTTAGCTGCTGCATGGTTCAATAGAGTATTGACAAAATCCTGCTGCTGCTGCTGCTACAATCTCTCCTTTTCGTCCCCTACACTGATAGTGAAGGCTCTTGTACCTGAACATGGCCTTAGAAACTTACCCAGCACAGAACATTAAGCAGATCTATCGGTCCATTCAAGTTGGAGTTTGTGCTAAATAACCTGCAGGCCACTCTAATGCAGTAACTGAAGATCTAGGATAAGTTTCAATGTCAAGAATTTGATTCTCAAAACTGTACATGTTAAATGTCAGAATCACACAATGATGCAGAAACCTGCAAAGGGTTTGGAGTGGGAGAAGGAGATCTCATTCACTCCCAGTGACCCCGGAAGAGCTTCACTGTTAGGCGCGGCCTAATGTTTCCCTTACTGTAACTCCTAATAGGAGAAATAGTGTCAGCTTCCCCAAACTGATTTGTAATGATTTTCTACTACATATGATAAATTATTATAAATTATAATCTTATATTCATTGAACTTTAAGTGAAAAGTCTTTAGTACATCCTTATAAGATCAAGATCTTAATAGATTTTGATTATCTCCATCTCAAAGCAGTGGAATTGGGAAACTTGCTGAATGTGGAATCTCCTCAAACACCTGAGCTCCATCCCCCAAGCACTGGAACTACATGC